TAAGGGATTAGCTTGGAAGAAGCAGTTAATGTGCTACTTACCGGCTAGGCATCGCATCTGCCTGCTTGTCCAGATATCAAACGACAGATGTATCCGCGTGGTAGCATTCTGAAGCAGGTCAACGATGACGGGTAGATGCCGCTCGTACTCGTCAATGATCATGCTCCGCATCGTCGTGTGGTGAGGAATATGAGGCCGGCTCTGGGGACGGAGATATTCGCATAGCTTGCGGAAATGCTCGCTCTCAAGCTTATGAAAGGGAATAGCATCAGACACTACCCAAGAAAGAAGAAGCCTCTTGAAGCGTTCAGGGTCGAATCTACTGTTCATCCAATTCATTACCTGCTGGTCTTTTGGGTCGTCCGCATTTAGCTGTAATTGCTCGAACACTGTACGGCTGCGTTTCCTAGAGAGAGGCCCATTTTTTGATATCCAGTGGACGTTGAGAAGATGTTTCTTGATATTGTCGACTCCGGCAATGATGTACTTAGTCGTGCGATAGGGCTTTTTCGAATGGCACTCGCGACAGAGCCAGTAGCGCTCCGAGCTCAGCCCTTGTTGAACATAGTAACCGTATTTTCAAAACCAAGCGCGCAACTTGTCGCTGGTTGGTGGACGTATATAGCCCGGTAGTCGCGCCCAGACGATATCTTGGTAGTGGTCATCATCTGCAAGAGAATCGATGGACGCAGACGGCTCGAACCAGGCTTCTGTAGAGGTGGGTGGCTCGGACTGCACGGTACGGAAGTGGGTGTCGATAGAGGAGGCGTCGACGATATCTAAATCCATGACAATGTATGAGATGCTTGATAGATGTGCTAGCAGATGCGCCGGTTGACGCGTCGCGTCGTGTCGCGTCCAAACGAAAGCCAAGACGTCCTCGGTTAGCGACGCAGCCAATAGCATGCGGCGCACTAGTCATCTCAACTTATTGTCAATCAACTGGGGGTAAAGTTGAGTTGAATTGCGATTGCTTATGTCAGCAGCAGTAGGCCAGTTGAATTGACATTGAAACAACATGTTGAAACAATGTTGCCAAGAGATTGATTGATTAGCAAGCCTGTTTAGCGAGCACATCGGGCCTATTGGTACAAGCTGGAATCTCAAAGCCTCCACTCATCTGAGTATGTATAGTTCTTGTGACTGGTTAAGTAAAAAGACAAGAGCCAGCAAGATAGATCTAATAATGAAGATACGTTTCGCCCCCAATTTTTTACTTTTAATTCAGGGCGGCAAGAGACTGCTCTTACTTGCAGTCTACGCTCAATCATCCTTATCCTGTATCAGACACTGATTGGTGATAGTTACGTCTATTTCACTTCAATTTCGTTTCAGCTGAATTTTCCTGTTTTACCATCAGCTGAGGTCTTCTCAGCTGAGGCCGTTTTGCCTTGTACGGCATTCCAACGTTACTGGCTACCCGCCCAACGCGCCAAGGTGGACCAAACCAAACCAATTTAGCTTAACACCATCAGGCGGTTCTCACGATCGGCTAATAAGAAGACGGTTCTAGTAGTCGCGCACGTTCACGCTTGTTATAGCCTTATCATTTGCTTAGAACTTAACCTAACATTAATCTCCTAAGTTGACCCATGAGTGGCTGGCGGCTCCACAATTAAACCGTTTGTAGCTAGCTCGGTGTTTCCTCCACGTGACCCTTCGTCTCAAAGCCATGTATCCTAGAAGTAGCCGCTAGATCTTAGGCATTAACTTCTGTGGCACTGCTGCGGCTAACAGGGGGCACAAGAAGTGATGACACTATAATGCCGAGGCTGCCTAGGTCTGCCATATCTCCATCAGCCAAGCCCTGTTGCCCAAGAATCTGGCTCTTTTCGATCATCCTCATCCTCACCAAATCAAATCGATAGACCGATCTTTCCTGCCCCTGGTCTTGCGATTGGTAGATTTCATGGTTGAACTAGATCAAGAGACAGTATGGCTACTTATAGAGCCACGTGTTGAAGACTTGCCACTTAAGCTTCGTCAGGCGATGAACGCCTCGATCACGCTAGCGGGGAGGATGGCCGACCCGCACTGGCCATAGACTTGTGAAGATGCATCTTTTGAGGTTCAGAAAACTAACTTACCGTCTTAGTGTAGGAACGTGGCGCTTAGGCACCAGCCACCGCGAACTATTGTCCGCAGCAGAAGGGGCTAAGTCTGCACAGCCACAAGCTTGGCTTAAGTCAATAAATCATTGGGACAGTTTTCGCGCACAAGCCCGCAAAACACGCGAAAACTTTCCCAATAACGTGTTTTATAAGCGAGTCGTCCTTACAAGCGAGTCGTCCACCCCACCAACTTTGATCACCTTTGAAGATCAAATCAGTTATGCCTCAACGCCAACAAGCTCTATTGCGCTCATCTGAAGCTGATATGCAGCTTACTATATCATCTCTTAATAGCCACCAGATCAAGACTGAGAGAGCTGCTGCTCGCGCGTTTAACGTCCCTCGAATGACGCTACGCGACCGACGCGCTGGCAGGCCTGCACGACGCGATTGCCAGCCCAACTCAAAGAAGCTTACCCAGCTAGAGGAGGAGGTAATTATTAGACATATACTCGACCTTGATCAGCGAGGATTTGGGCCTACGTATACAGCTGCGCGCGATATGGCTAATAAGCTGCTTGCTGCGCGTGGCGCAGGTCGCGTTGGCGTCCACTGGCCGCGCAACTTTGTCAAGCGTACAGACAGTCTTATGACGCGTTTTAATCGATCGTACGATAGGCAGAGAGCTCTATGCGAGGATCCTGTGCTAATCAGCCGCTGGTTTAAGCTGGTAGAGGAGACAAAGGCCAAGTACGGCATCTGTGATGAGGACGTCTACAACTTTGACGAGGCTGGCTTTATGATGGGCAAGATCCAGACTCAGCTAGTTATCACAGGGTCAGAGAGGAGAGGCAGGCCAAAGACTATCCAGCCTGGCAACCGCGAGTGGGTGACGGTAATTGCTGCAATCAACGCTGCTGGCTGGACAATCCCACCGTTCCTCATCTTTGCTGGCAAGTATCACCTGTCAGCCTGGTACGAGGAGGATATCCCACGCGACTGGGCTATCGCAGTTAGCGACAACGGCTGGACAACCAACGAGATAGGAGTTGAGTGGCTAAAGCACTTTATTAAGCATACTGAGGGCAAGGTAGTTGGAGCACGCCGCCTGCTTATCCTTGACGGCCACGAGAGCCACCAGTCTCTTGAGTTTCAAGAGCTCTGCAAGGAGAGCAATATCTACACGCTCTGCATGCCAGCTCACTCATCTCACCTACTGCAGCCTCTTGACGTAGGCTGCTTCTCGCCTATGAAGCGCGCGTACAGCCGTGAGATTGAGGCTCTGATGCGCTACAATATCAACCATATCACCAAGCTCGAATTCCTGCCAGCCTTTAAGGCAGCCTTTGATCGATCGTTCACCTTAGCCAATATCTGCTCAGCTTTCGAGGCGCAGGCCTAGCCCCTCTCAGCCAGACGCTGTTCTATCAAAGCTCAACGTGCAGCTGCGTACGCCTACTCCACCAGCTGCTCTCGCAGAGTCCTCCCTGGGAGGCTCGTACACCAAGCAACGTACGTGAGCTTGAGGCTCAATCAACGTTAATACGTGATCGCGTGCGGCAGCATAAGAGCTCATCACCAGCCTCGATTATTGAGGCGATTAACCAGCTTAAAAAGGGGGCTGAGGTGATGATGCTCTCAGCCGAGCTTATGCGCGATCAGATTACCTGCCTTGAGAGAGCCAACGAGGCAGCAACTAAGCGTAGGCAGCGCAAAAAGAAGCGGATACAGAAGCGTGGGACCTTAACAAAGGGAGAGGGAGAGGATATACTAGCTCAAAAGGAGGCTGACCAGCAGATTGAGCGTGAACAGCGTCAAGGTGGTGAGCGATCAGGCCTTAACCGCCAGGCTATTGCGCGCTGCAGGAGGTGCAGGGAGACTGGGCACAACTCACGAACGTGCAAAAAGGATGCTGTAGATACTATTTAATCTACTATATTAATCGCTTTGTTCTACCTTATTACGTTGTTGCGTTGCGTAGCTTTGAAGGTGATCAAAGTTAGTGGGGTGGACGACTCGCTTGTAAGGACGACTCGCTTATAAAACACGTTAATATTGTGCAGGTGATGTGTTCAGCAAGCGAGCTGATCAGCCCCACCGCGTCGTGCCTGCGTTGTGCGCACTTCATCGTCCGCGCAATCGTCGAGGCATCGTCACGCGTGGCTCGCCATATCGAAATCTGCTCGAAAATCAACCTCTACATTGTGTTGTTATGCAGTTTAGTACTGTGTTTTGGTGAGGGGTGGACCCCACCTATGCTGACACATCACCGAAAGTTGAGCGATTTCTTTTCCAGGTGGTGCGTTTGGTGAGCCGCTGAGTAAAGCGACGACTCTGGTTCCCGAAGCCTCGTGATACCCGCGGCATGGCATTCATTCCGCGTGGTTGGCCTTACCTACTGTAGTACCTCTCAGAAGTTTTCCAAACCGCCACTCTGAGGGCTCCGGCTTTAAGTTAGAGCCCATGCTTCTTCAGTTAACTCTTGTAATTAGACGTCTCTATGAGAAGAGACGTCACTTATTCGCGATGATGCAGGTGGAGACCTGTAAGCTGAATAAGGAATTTGGAAAAGTTAAGGGAGTAGGCAGTGTGGCGAGGGATGCTGTGATACGAGCAGAACGAATGGTGGCGCCTGGCAGCGAATGAGATCCGCTGTGATATGCAGCGCCGGTCAAGGCGGAATCAACCTCAGATGCGGGGTCTGAAGATCTTCAAGGCGGAATCAACCTCATATGCGTGGTATGAAGACGTCGTTTCCTCGTCTACTTCTCTCTCGTCTTCCTTTCTGTCGTCTCTCCATCCTACTGTGAGTGAACATCTTCTGCGATCAGTATCCCGGATTCAAGCAACGACATGCAAAGCTTCGACAAACACCCATGTGTACGCTAGGCTGAGTGATACCAAGACGGAGACCCTTTGTAAGAGCTGGTCACCGAAACGGATTTCAACATGGGAATTCGTCATCTTCCATACACCACGCGTTCCAACATCCTCTTCGCCCTACTCCTCACCCTCGCATCCCCAGTAACCCCGCTCGTGCTCCAAAACATCACCATAGCCCTCCCACCAGGCTCCTCCGACCACGGAACTCCAGGCCTACTCTGTACACCCACCAAACCCATCGACCTCTTAACCTTCTACCTGCTCAACTATGTCGCGCACGCCGCCACCGTATTGACACGGCCTGGTGAACGCGCTGACGATTACTTCGTTTCCGTGATCGGATCATTACTATTCCCCGCCTTAGGACTCTATCGCGGAATCGAAGCCATCTTATCAGGCGCCGTCTGTGTGCGCGACGATGATCTGCGGAAGGCGGCAAGGAGTGGAGCACTATGTGTTGTCGTCAGAGGGGCGGACTGGCGACCTGTTGACGGTGAAATAATCACGCACGCCATTTACAAGAGACCGGCGGACACAAAAGGACTACAGGAGACTCGCAGAACGTTCACTGGAGAAACCCTGACTGAAGAGGCAAAAGAGAACGCTGTCCATGTAATCCCCTACTTCCCACCCTACATATTCACCCGCTTCGGATTGCCCGTCTTTGTGCACCGCCGCATCATCCACGGCACACACACGCTGCCACCTGGATACCGCTTCGCCATCCTCCCTCACGATGCGCAGTTCGCTTCCCCTTCCACTGACCAGCCAACAATCGAAGTCTCAGCCACCTACAACATAGTAAAAGCGCTCATCGCGCTCGTGCAATCCGTATACGCCCTCACCACGCTCTACCGCGCGCGCGGCGACCAGATCAGTCAGTTTGGCTATGCTGCTTTCGGGCTAACGGTGGCGCCGTACGCGGTAATGTCGATTACGAACCTCATCGGCAACCTCTGCCGCCCAGAGTATCCGAGTTTGTATATGGTGGAGAGTAGTATCATGGACGAAGCGCGGAAACGAGGGGGCTTGTTTGAAGCAGCCGGCGTCCGCGTACAAGAGGACGAACGGCTGCACGTGTGTAACTGCGGCTTCGCGAACGGCGAGGAGCTTGACGATTTACACTTCGCTGCGAATGAGGATGGGGAAGTGGAAGCGCATTTCAGCACCACGGACCCGCTGGCCTACGTCAAACAACGCGAGGTAGAGCAGAACACCGAGAAAACCCTCACGGCATCGACGCTCGAAACGAAATTCCCCCTACCAGCGAGATCCTTGCTCCTCCCTCAAACCCACGCCCTCGCTCCAACTCCCAAGAAACTAAACTACATCAACACCCAAAACAACGCCCTCCTCCTAATCCCGTGCCACACCCCACTCATCCGCTTCACGCCTCCAACCTCGTCCTCTATAATCGAAACCCCCCACCCCGCTCCCTCCTCTCCGCCCTTTCCTGCGCCGCACCCACCCCTTTTCACGCCACTACACCTGGACCCCCCGCTTTCACCCCTCGCGCACCTCCATCATCGCCCTGCGATGGCGCTGGACAAAATACATTTCCACAACCTTCATTGCCTTACTCCCTTTACTCATATTAGGCATCTTGTCCAACTTCTGTGCTGGTACAATCCCAGCCGCAGAATCGACGAATTGGCGCGTATTCACGGTGCAGTGGTTGAGTTTCGGCGTGTTTACGGGGTTGTCATTCGTGTTGGATCAGGAGTGGAAGGATGCGATGACGAGTGGAGGAGCGCAGGTAGGACCGTGGGTGAGGGTGGTTACGTATTTCGTTAGCGCGAGTCCGGCGGTGGGTGGGTATATTGTGGTGGGGCAGATGTTGTATCGGTATGGGACATGTGTATGGGTTGGTGATTGACAAGCTGACAGCCGGTCACAAGATGAAAATTGAGAAGAATGTCGAGAGGCAGGATGATGAACGCAGTATATTCATTTTTCTTTTTGATAAATCCATGCATAGGCAAATTTATTGGTGCTTTATACTCAGTATCTCGATAAATTGCAGAAGCTGTGTACATGAACAGCTTGAGAGGTGATATCACAGGCACAGTGAGCACACTGACCTACAAAAACAGACGTGAGAGGCACAAACCTTTGCTGAGTAAGTTTCGCGTCGGGGTGGTGGAACGACGGGGTATCGGGGAGGAGTAACATCGAAACGAGCATCGAGGAGGGGGCAATGGGGTTGGACAAGTTTCGACATACTACGAAGAATCGACCGATCGAGTGTACAGAACCGAGCCAAGAGGGAAAATTACCATTCGCCAAAGAAAGATTCGAACCGAGCTTTTCGACTGCTGATCTGATTAATGTCGTGGCATGGCTGAGCAGTAGCTCCAGCCTCCACTCAACGAGAGAATGAGACCTTCAACCGGGATTCCGCTAATCGAAACACCCACGCAAGGACCAATTTTGAGAAGAGAATGTTACTCAAGAACTGTTTGCGCGAAGCACAACAGCTCGAGATCTACTCAGCCACGACTAGGTCCTCGTGGGCGACAGGGGGAGGGGAGTCGTCTGCGTTGTTGATCAGAGAAGGTCGTCGTAATAGGGGGCGGGTGCCTCACTCTTGCCGGACTTCGCCTTTAGCGTCAGCCTCGCGGTCTCTCGACCCACAAGCCCTACCAGCAGACGATTCTGAGGAGTCGAAAAATTCGAGCGACTCTGATGAGTCCGACAGCTCAGAAGATCCAGAGAACCAGAATAGTTCTAGCGATACTATAGAATTCGGCACTTGGGACGTCCCAAGTAAGGAACTACATGAGCAGTAGCTGTCGGCGTACCAAGATATGCCTCTCGTTGCTTTCCAATGCGCTGTGCACCACTGATGCTACCACCCCTTCTCCGAGGAAAAAAACGTGTATCCACGACCCATTTGAGTAAGTCACTCTGTTCCATCGAACGCGACGTTCATAGGCCACGGCTTTGCGCACCGCACGCTTTAGACTAGGACGGGACGTGCAGAAAAGGACCCTTCGTCACTCCCGACTGCCGCATGCACTGACAACCCGATATCCACCCAAAAAAAGGCCTAGAGGCAAGAGGCTAGAACAATAAGTCCAAGCTCTTTCTTCCATTTCTCTCCAGCAAAATGTTGATCATGCTGCACATCCACGAAACTTGCCCACGTCTTCGCAGTGCGCTGTCAAAACGCGTTGACGTGGCATAAGGCTACATCACAAGAGCGTAACCAGTTTTCTACTCACATTCTTGGCTTAGAGGTGGCTCTACGTGATCAAAACCCTGTCAAAAGGGCAAGGTATCGGTTGAACCTGTTCCGTTTTGGCTGCGGTCAAAGCGGAAGGTTCCCGATTCGTAGTTATCCTATAGGAGCGACACAAGATTTCTATCAAGTGAAGTATGCGTGGACACTGGGCAGTTTTGTTCTGCAGCTCTCCTGGAATCCTTCAACATTGCGTGTAACCGCATGCCCTGCAAGACTGTTGGGATCATGGGCTCCATGGAATCTCCATCAACTTCATCACTTTCATCTCCATTGTCACTCTCGCTCCTGGGCAGAAGGAAGTCTTCGCGGTCGAATATTATCGACAGATAGGGGTGTTCTTGGATTGAGTCGGTAGTGAGAGGGTGCTTTCTTTCGACGGAAGAGGCGTTAGAAAACCATACGACGGAGGAACTTGGCAAACTTATGTGCTGCTCCACGGATAACGCCGGAGATGCATTGAACTCGTGTCGGTGGAACAAGGTCCCTACCATCTCATTGTGCGTTTGCATGGTCTCATAACTCACACTGCTCAGGGAGCAGTCTGTAAATTCCTGGGTCTCTAAGCTGAATCACGAGTTACTATTAACCGCACCCACAAGGGTAATGCAGCAAGACGGCGCATACCTGGAAGTCTTGGTCGTTGTGTCGGGATATGCAGTCGCAGGAAGATAGCTTGCGACGTCTTCAACTCGTTCACCAAGTCTCAGTCTTGCTAAGATATTTAAAGCTTGATTGTCAGAGCCCGACCGTAAGACATTGATGATGCGTTCTAGTTCCTCGAGCCTACTCGACAGCTTATCCCTCTTCATCAACCTCGTTCTTTCAGCTCTGGAAACGCCTTCTGCCACATCATATCGATAAGAAAAGTCATAGTTCGTGCATCGGATACACTGAGGCCTTGTACCATTACACTAGATATATTTAGTTGCTACTATGCAGTGCTCAAAGAGGAGGCTTTAGGTGTACCTTGGTTTTTCCAGTGCGACACCGGATACATGCAACAGGAATTGCGCGTCGTCTCTCCGTCGAATCTGTGCTTGGTCGTCGCTGCTTAGAATTATCTATGGCTGGCGCGATGGGCTTCCATCGGCTGGTAGGATCCGTCACGTTGTATAAGTAGTGACCGCTAAGACCCAC